AAAAATTTTTTATGATATTCAACACAGAGAACAAAATAGAAAACAATCAGTCTAGAGAATATCATTACTACTATGTTATAACTATTGATCATTGAAACCTTATATATGGGTCAGCTTGTTTTACATTCCAATCTAATGCATGAGAGAATACAAATAATATTCCACTTTTTGAATCGTTTGATGAAATATGCTTTCTGAAGCATTTTGGATATATTTATTGTATGTGGGCTGATAATATGTTGCTAGATTGGTAAAAGGGTTTTTGAGTAAGAAGATTCATCATGAGGAGAGAGCAATGAAGACTTCTCATCAAGCCTGTAGATAAAAGAGAAAACATTCCTCTTATTAAACTACAAGGTCATCACTAATTTCATTATGTTTTCCTGACCTATTCCTTTGTGTCTGACCAAGTGCTCACAATTGCACTTTCGTTACCCCCTACTTTGTCCCCAGCAAATTATAGTCGGGCTGCTTTGGGCTTCTGAGTTCTACTTGTCCCAAAGCTCGAACAAGCACTAAAAACTGGAACATGCCCGCTTTATCAGCTAATCCTGAGAATCATCTGAACACAGTAGAACTTTTTCCTACTGGTCATTTCTCCATGCTGGCCTACCTTACCCTTAAATGGTCGTAAAAATCTTTGTTTACCTGTCTCTGTTTTTTTTTTGGTGGTGGGGAGCCTTTTTCTGTTCAATTTTGTGACACTTGCAGATTTCTGAGATTAAGTGTTCTCCCCATGCCTTGTCTAAGTTTGGATACGTTTTTACTTGACATGACAAAGGTTCCTTGACCCAGAAGCATGCCTTGGTTAAAATCATTCACATGAAAACGCTTTGCTAAAATTATTCTAAAATGGTTATATAATCAGAATCTACTTTAGAATAAATTGCTGCTTTCTCGACTACTTCTTTCTTAGTTCTAGCTCTTATTTCCCATCTGAAATCACTGTGCTAGTTTTCCAAGGAATGTGTCACTGCTCCCCTCACCCTGCTTGCCTACTGCTGCTCCTGTACCGGCCTCAGAGCACGTCTGATCACATCACTGCTTTGTCAATGATGTCTCACTGGTGATGGCTGGCTTTACGTCCATCAGTACAACTAGATAATAAGTGTCCACTTCAGGGGCTCTGGCTTAATGGTCTTTATATTCAGGGCTATCTCACTGCATGCTCACGATGTGACCCACGAACATCTGATGACTGAATGAATACAAATATCAACTGCACCCCTATTTCCCAAAATAATATCACAAGAAAGCGAATTTATTTCCAATTGTTTCTCTCTAGTCTTTTAAAGAATTCCTTATTTCCATGTCTTTAATCTCCTGGCCAAACTGATTATATACCACATGATGCCTTTTTTCTTTTGTACATACTTCAGGACCTTAAGAAACATACAAATAATGAAAAATTTATTGAATAAATTTATATTGTCTTTTTCTTCCCACTTGTCACTTCTCAAATGTAGTTCAGTTCTGTATGTTAGCCACTTGGCTTTTGAATTTGAATGCTATTCACTTTCATAACTAACATAGCCAAATTAGCTTAACCTCCCTTCCTTAAACCAAGCAAAACATAGGTACAAAGCAAAATTCCCTGCAACATCGAAATAAACTACCTTCCTACCCCAATAGAGAGACAACAGGAGAGCATTTTTTCTTTCCTGAAAGTCATTATTTGCTAAGCACTTTTATGTGCTAATTCGGGTCGGAGAACTTGGATTTATTTTTTTACCCCCTTTCCCTGGTTTCATCTTTTATTCAATCAAATCTACTGATTTTTTTCTTACGCTTCCCTCTCTAATTTCTTTTGAGTATTTAATTACCAGTCACTTTGCCTGCTTCTCTCTTAAATAGAACATACACATTTCATCCATATCTGTCTCTCTCAAGTAATATTTTTAATATATCCTTCCTTGATCAATTATATTCAGCTATTACCTAATGCCTAGGGAGTAAGATCAGACTCTTTGCCCTGTCAATAATAGGAATTCAATTGGAATAAATTATATATTTGCATTTAAAAATAACTGATATCTGTTGAAATTATTTTAACTTTGAATTATAAAACTGCTTTATTTTGTAGTAAATATTTAGTATTTGTACTACTTAATATTGTTTGAATTAAAATTGACCTTTTAAATGTAAATTGGTAATATTTTCTCTTCTTCTTGTTAAAATGATCAGACCAGTGGTCCCTATTCTAATAGCCCATCAGAGTCCCAAGGTCAAGTTTCTCAAACTTGATTGTGTTATGAATCAAATCGGGACCTTATTAAAATATGGATTCAGATCGAATAGATCTGGGTCGGGCTTCTGTCTCTAAATTTCTAAAAGGTTCCCAGTTGGTGTTTGTGCCACTGCTCCAAAGATCACATATTAGAAGGACATGCTTTAAACAAAATCCCACACAGATTTAATGCAGGGCATCGTGCAGTCCAGTTATACACAAATTTAATCATGGGCAATGATGGAATATGTCTTAACAGTATCACCAATTTTATGAAGTGGTTACACATTATTATACCTGTTGGTCCATAAGAAAATTGAAGTTTAGAAAAGATTAGAAATAGTTCAAGGTCATGAAACTAGCAGTTGTCCCAGCCAGAATACAAATACCAGAGTTCTTACCCTAAAACTGGCCTCTAACCACACCAGCACAGGAGTTTTATAAACAGGTAGATGAATAAATGCATTTTAGGAGAGCTACTCCTAGCTATATTGCTCAAACTGGTCTGCTTTAGATGTGATGGCATCATTCTATTTATTCTTGTTTCAAAACTCTTACCATTCAAACTTCTAGAGAAGAAAAAATGTCACTAGATGATGCTTACCTCTGTAATCTGTCCTGGGCTCACTACTTTCCTCCATATGGATAAGGGTAAGGGTACGGCTGTGGGTATGGATAACTGGGATGATACTGTGGATATGGGTAATACCCTCCCTAAAAAGACAAAATGGCAGAGATATGAGATGACAGTATAACTATTTCACAATAATTTCCATTAGTAGCTTAGGTTGTTAAAGTTGCTGGAAACTCATAGATCACCTCCACGTTTGATTTCTCACAAACATGGAAATGATCTATGAAAAAAATAAGAAAACATTTGCAATTATACTGTTTGTTGACAATTTTGTTGTTTGATAATACAGGTGGAGCCATAAATTATAGCCCACCACTCACAGAAGTTTTAAATATTCTTTAAAATATTACCTAAGAGCTCCTGCTTTGCCTGTCCTTGAATTTTCCAGGGAGAAGAATTTGCTAATTCCGGGATAGGTGGAATTGCTGTGTCTCACTCTTGACCTATAGTGACCTTACTGTCTTTTCAAATTTCTACTTTCTCTAATGTTCACTCCTGCTTACTTCAATATCCTTCATCTTTTAATTTCCTGTTTTGTTAAAATTAATCTATTTCATAAACTGGTAAGAATCTTTAAGACCTTATCATATTGAGATGACATGTGAAAATAATATATCAAGAATACATTTTATTAAAAATGCTAAATAAATAAAATTTTCTAACTTATTTAACAAGATCAATTTAACCCAACCCTTTGACTTCATCATCCTCCACAGGAATCAAAAGGTGAAAATTTAGCTCATCATGGGTGTCCTTAGCAGCCTCTATTATCCATTCTGCATGTATTATATCTACTAGATTTAGAATTTCAACTATTCTTTTGGGAAAGTATTTACCTAACAAAGGTACTTATATTCTGTGAAAATAGTTGACTTCCAGGGTAGCATTGTAAATTTCTATCTCAGTGCTACCAGTACATAACCTTTGGCTCCTTTATGAGTATATTTTAAATAAATAAATTCAATGTATACTTTCCAACTTACTATACATAGATATATTTCTTCTAGAATAAATGCTTAGAGAAGAAAATGTGTTTTTTTATACCACATTATTTGGGAAATACTTACGTAGTATTTGTGTTTCCTGAAACGATGTTTCTGTTCAAAGAAAGAACAAATTAAAATTGTTATACATGGTTTTTGTTTTTGTTTTTTTCCCCATTTATCTTTAGATAGAGTGGAAAGGAGGGAGGGAGAGAGGGAGAGAAACATCGACTGGTTGCCTCACACACAACATTGACCAGGTCCAGGGACCAATCTCAACCGAGGTATGTGCCCTTGGCCAGAATCGAACCCATGACTCCTAGGGTCTGTGGGCCGACACTCTAATCCCTGAGCCAAACTGGCCAGGGCTGTTATACATGTTTAATTATCAAGTTTCTTGATACGTGAAAGTGTCTTACCTCTTCAGATGAAGAAGAATCAGCTCCCTAGGTAAAAAAAAAAAAGAAAACAATGAACATGTCAATTTTATAGTTCTAGATTGAGTGTCAAAATGCACTTGGCTGCCACAATCATGATTAAACAAAATGGAGACAGGTCTTAGGCAGCGGTTACACTAAGCTAGTTGTTCCATGTTTAGGACAGAATGAAGACTAGGTTTAGGGTAAAATCAATTTACTACATTCCGATATCAGTTCACTCAGGTCCAAATTTCTTTGGTGTGATAAGGAAGAAAATCCTTTCACTGTTATCAAGAGAGTGAAATTGAGAAGTTATAATTTGGATTGGCTCAACACCAGATATGTTTTAAGTTGCTGAAAACATATGTAATTTAAATATCAATTACACAGATACATTCTGGTGTTAAGATGATTTTTTTTTTTTTGTTCTTCTTGAATGTTTTTCTTTTTTGCACTTGTATTTCTGTGTGTGCTTAGTGTCTCTGTGTGTGTATACAAAAGATTTATTCTAAGTCCTTAACTTACAGATGTAGGTTATTTTACAAAACATCCCACACAAAACCATTAAAACTGATAAAGCCATGTTTGAGAAATGCAAATGTGGTCCAGAACACAAGAAATAATAGACAATGTCTGAATAGTTACTGAGAAGATAGTCCTCAACATTTCCCGATATACTTACAATCATGGCAACCATGAGAGACATGATACAGGCGAAGAGGACAAAGATCTTCATAATGGCTAAGTCCTGTGAAGCACAGGTAAGAGGTCAGTACCACCTTCATTCCCACACTTTCACACCATTCATTGATCAAACCATCACCCTAAGCTTTGTGAAACAGTCTGAAATACAAGGGGTATTGAACCACATCTCCTGACATCGGGAACACAGGAATCTGGAGGGGACATTGATAAGTAAAGATAAATGCTGTGGTGTAGAAATACTGAAGTATCAAAATCCAGACAAAATGGACATCTTAAACAGACTGATGTATGGGGTTGAGGGGTTGGAAGATGGACATTTGTAACCTTGTGTTAATGCACTCTCAACCTTGTGTTAATGCATTCTCAGAAACCTGGTCCACCCAGGTGCATTGAGTGCTTCATTTGCATGTGAATAAGGTTTGTTATCTTTTGGCTTCAAAGTCTCTTCCTATAAAAAGCAAGAGACAAAGCTAGGGTGTATGGTTTTGCAGAAACGCCATCTCAAAGAAATAATTTACATAAATCTGCTCGTAACCTGCGGGTAGCAATCTGCAAATAAATGGGACTGCGTCCAAACATCTGGAGCATTTGCTCCCTTGCAAAGCTTCCCCTCACTCCAAACAGCGTATGGTTATAGTTTCATTTTGTTACACCAATCCCAGCAGGCCAAGACGGCACTGATGAATGGGTGGGGGGAATATTAAGGAAAATAAATAGGTAAAGCTTGTGTTAGATTATATAGAGTAAGAGAAGAGAGATGATATAGAATAAGTAAAGAGAATTTTTAAAAGAAACAAAAATGAGAGAGAAGACAGCATATAGAAATGAAATAGTTCACCAGGTAAGAAGAACAAGAATGGAGACAAGCTGACCATTTAGATCATTGTGATATTATAGGGGCCTTACATAGTGATATTTGGGGTTATGATTAAGGTAGGGTTTAAAGAAATATTAGGTTAGCAAAAATCAGTCAGGTATCTGGCTTGAGAATGATGGAAGTGGTATAAACCTAGTATTAAAAAATTAATAATAATGGATAGAGAAAACTCAAGTTCAAAAAAGTTTCAGGGAAAATATTTGTAGATACATTGAGAAGTACAATTTGAAAAATTTTTTAGTCTCTAAATAATCTATTCAATGAAATTACCCTAATGCGGGACTCTGAGATGTTTTTGTGATTCAGTATATACAAATGAGCTCAGTTCTGTTGCTGTTGTATAAGAAATAAAGGAGATTATTTATTTCTTAGTTATGGACTTCTAAATAAACACATTTTCAAACTGGAAGGTAAATAATGAGTAAAAGCATTTCCCCCCTGAATTTTAATAGAAAAGTAGAGTAACATTTTTTTTTTCCCGATTATAGAAGATACTATTTGTTTGCCTACTAACTCTAAATAACTAACATATGAAGCACAGTATGTGACTGATTATATTTCCCTTGTTCCTTATACACTGATTTTGCCTCATTGGTTTAAACTCAGGACTGTGTCATTGGAAAAATTGAGAAAATCATATATTTCTTGATTAAGTTTTTTTTTTTTTTAATAATCTACTACATCAAACATTCAGTCATGTTATGATACAAACAAGGATTCAGCTTTAGTGTTGTTCATACCTCCAATTTTATGGAAGGTAGAGGATTAAGAGAATTTCACAGAAACTGATCTTCTACTGATAGATACTCAGATGGACAATTTAGGATCTTTGAAAGAATAATAATAAAAAAACCTGATGATAAAAGATTGATATAGTATAAAAACTTTTTCAGCCAAATCACACATAAAATAAAAGTATGTTAAATAAAAGAATAAAACAAAATAGTCTGTTAGCAGTGCTAAATCATGCAGAAAATAAGAAACTATATTATAAAAAAAAACACTGAATGTAATGGAAAATGAATTCATTATGGTAACCTAATAACTTTGGTGAAGGTTAATGATATTTTTTAAATAATATGCACATTTGTAAAAAGAGAGTTTATATTACTCAGGAGATAATTTTCTTATAAAAGATAACCTTGACTTTTGAGTTAAAAGAAAAACTATCCACACAATGGATATTATATATTTAGTCAAGGAAATAAAAAGACATCCAGGACACCCCACCAACAGAAATATGGAGTGTATATCCCCCTTGTTCCATATCATTCTTTTGGTAAAATGCTTGCTGTCAGTTTAGAGGTATTACAATCCTGTCCTCAAATTCAAATCCTGACACAGAACCATCATGTCTTAAAATTGTTTTCTATGAGAAATTATCAATAAAAAATATATATTTAAAAAATGAAATACAGCTTATTTTAGCGAACAAAAATTAGAATAAGACATCATATTAGATTGTCCATGAACATATTACCTTTCACCCAAGATCAGAAGAGTTGGAGAAGCTGAAATTTCGAAGCCCTATGAGATGGTGTGCCTTCCTAGAGGACTGGTGTATTTATATACACTGAAATCCTCCGTTTGTTTTCCTAAATCATGTCAGTTATGAGATCATATTATAGAACTAAATATAATGCCCAAAATCTGTCCCCAAAGATACTAAAAATAGACTTAAGCTTTACAATAGAAGATTGTGAAGCAGAGTGACCAGGAAATGATTGCACCCATCACATGTTAATCCAGTGTTTGTCTAGGCATGCAAGAATAAGAGCGAAAAAAGTATGGTGCAGTGAAGCACGCGAAGAAATGAATTGAAATGGTAAAAGTGTTTCTATAGAATGACAGGTGGCCTATTTCAACAAACACCTGTCCAAGATGAAAAAACACTGTGCCCCAAATGGTACTATCTTACCAAATTTTACTGGTTTTGAATGTATGAGAACTACATAATAAAATTGAAGTCATTGCTTTCTCTAATGTGTCTCCTACAAATTATTAAAATGTACATTTACTCTACTGACTCTAGAATATTTTAAGTCTTAAGTATACTCAAATATTTTCCAAAATGCAATAATCTATTGAGTATTAGATAATAAAACAATTCTAGTGAACATAGAAACCCAGTCCTCTATGTCTCTCAGTAACTGGATGCATTATGTTTTGGTGTTGAATTTACTTCCTCTGTGTCTTTAGGGGCTCATATCCTCCTTGGGAGCCATATTTTAACATGATTCCACTAGACAAGAAGAAAGATTAGTTTTCACTAAATCCCTAGGAAAATTTATATAAAAATTTAGCTCTTTGTTACTGTTTGGATAATGTAATGTACTCAGGACTAAAAAGACAAAATGCTACATTTAAAGTTTAGGTATATTTTGTATCTGAGTCTATTGTTACTCAAAACATGGTTCATGTGACCATCAGAGTCATCATCACCTGAGAGCTTGATGGAAATACAAATTCATAGGCCCTCTCTCCAGGCATGTGAACCAGAATATAGGAGGTGCAGCAGCAATCTGACTTTATCAATATCTCCAGGTGATTCTTTGTGTACCACAAATTTTGATAAACTACATAATCGACTCATAAGCACATTATGCATCTATAGACTCGATCAGGTGTTTTAAGGAAATATTTGTTAGGTGAGACTTCTCTGATATATTTAAACAACTGCATTAGTAATTGTTATTCTCTAGGTGGTAAACAAAACATTATTAATGTTTTATTAAGGCAAATAGAATCCAATTCAATTTAAATAATTCTTATTCTCTTTTATTGATTTGTAGGCCTTGTAGATAGATAGTTGATTCTCAGTGCAAAACAAATCCAAACTCTAGCATATTCTCAATGGAAAAAATGTTATATAAGGATCAGTAAGTATTAAAATAAGTATGATTTAAAAAAATAAATCCTGCTTTATTTATTTTGGAATATCAAATGATTTTGTTCCTTTCTTTCTCTTTTTCTCTCTCTCTCTTACTTACTTGCCTCATGTCCTTTCTTCCTTCATTTATCTCTTCAGTGATTTCTCTTAAACTGTGTTACTAGTCACTGTTCTAATACATCTATGATATTCACAACCTACTGGACAAAGTGTAAGCTAGTGAGCCAAAGACACTAATAAACTACAACATCACTAAAGAAGCTGCCAGGTAATAAATATTTACTGATGCTAATACAATTAAAATCTTCAATTAACTCCCTCAAATTTTAGGTTGAGACACCAAAATGTAGGCATTATACCATACATCACCTTCTGCTTCAAGGTGATAGGAAGTGTGGGGATTATGTGTGACAGAAGGAAATAAGAGCAGGTGGACTCTAAACATAGCAGTAGCCTTTGTGTGTTACTTATGGTTTCACCCTCCATGAACAGTAGGTCATTTTAGAATATTGATGGACCAGAACTTGTCCTGTTATTTTATAATTAAGTAGAACAGGTATCATATAAGCTACAACCAAACACCATACTGTTTGAAAATGTCAGTGTTTTTCATATAAGGAAAAAATTAATAAAGAATGACTGCTTTATCACAATGTGGCATTAAAATGGTACTGTAAAGATGCAGTCTCTAAATGGGTATTTGATATTTATACTGGATTTCTCTCACCTTTCTCTTCCTCTTTCTCCTTTGCCTGTTTCACTTCTACTACAATGAAAATATGCTCTACAGTCTAAGACAAAACCCATGATGCTTATTTATCTAACTTAAAAACCAGTTTGTATTATATTCCTGCAGAGTCAGAAAAGAAATGGGCAAAAGACAGGACCCTTTGATAACAACAAGGAAATGTGGGAGAAAAATTGAGAAGTTCATTATAATCTCCTTGAATGGACAGAACAGCAGAAGAGAGGACAATTTCTGGGAAAGTTTTGAATTGTGGAAGCCAATTCAAAAGGTGAAATTTCAGGAAGGAAGCTTATAATTCATGAAAAAAATTTTAAAATTACCTTAGAGATTGCTCAATCTCCTCAAACTGCAATTACCTTATCTAGAATAAATATAATAAAGTGGGAACTAGATTAAATGAGAATGTATATAAATCACATTTCAGATAAAAATAAATATTAGGTATTATTCTTGTGTATCATCATACTGCTCATGGGAAATAACATTCTAATTTTTAATAACTCACTCAGGATGATGCAGGAAATGAAAACCAAACCACAGT